TATTCTATTGCTGCTTGCTCACAAAAATCTTTAAGCCGTTCCACTCTTACAGTGAATATGGAAAAATACTTGAAAATTTTCAGAACAATAGACTCCACGTCAATCGACATCACATCGGCAGCAGTGGACGCTGTATTGTGCAGAATGTGCGCTGGGCAACCGATGCCTTCAATGTCTTTGGACAAAATCTCCTTTAATTTAAAAAAAAACATTGTTAACTCCGTACCTATCTCTTCCGCCAAAGTTAGTGTTTGTGTTATCCCCGCTGAAAGCAACAATATTTTGTACGGGGATGTTCTGATCCTGCAACGATTTTATACAAAATGAAGTGATTGTATCAGATGTTTCATTCGGCAATGAGTCTATTTTTAGTAATTTAATTTGCAGTCCTTCTTTTTCCGTAAAGTACTGTATCAGCAGTGGAAATAACTTTTCGGCTTTGTGATTGCTAGAATCGGTTGAAATGCCGTAAAAAGGAACTTTTTCGACTTCTGTTTTAATTTGCGCGATCGAGTGTGGAGCTAAAATGTGTTTAATGATAGCAGTAGCTTTTGTTCTTGCAGTTGATTGTTTTGCTGCGATACTTGAATCAGGATACATTACGGCATTCAGTTTTGTCGTACAATCTAAAGAGCTAAACGATTGGTGGTGCTTTACGACTTTATAAGCTGTGGTCAGTTCGGCAGCGCATATTAACATGTCTTCGGCAGTACATTGCGTGATCATAAATGTCGATATATCTCTAGAAGTTGATGCAACTGATAATTTCGTCTTGTGATTTTTACTTTGGATATGGTCTTTGACACTTGACTTACCGCCGTGACTGACAGATATATGAAAGCCGCAAATTGAACAAAAGGCTTCATAATCATTTCTTCCTCTTTTAATGAATGACCACTCTTTAGTATAATCGTCCGAAAACAAACACTTTCTTTTTGGCATGACTTTTTAGCAAAATACCAGACTGGCAATAAAAAAACTAAACTACGAAATACAGGATAACGCGCAGCGCAAATTAAGTACGTTGTTCTCTAAAGCAATCAAACGAAACACTGCGACGACGCGTGACGTTCAAGGCGCGAGGGCGGAGGGGCACGCGGCGCGGGACGCGCACGTAGTGTTGCCAACTATACTTTAAAATAACGTATCTTACGGTATTTTGCTTGATTATACTTTATACTTTTGAATAAGAAAAAAGTATCTAAAATACTTTATTCTAACTTATGCGTGAAATATTGTGTGAATTGAATGAAAGCAAGAATTCTGCCAAATTTCTGAATTTAACTCAGTCCATTACTCAGAATTTCCAATCATTTTATACTTTCACACATACACAGAACAGAATAACAACAAAATACATTATCATACAACTTTCGAAAAATCTGTACTGTCAGTACAGTCAAGTGTCAGTCAATGTCTCCAGTATATATTGTACTCTGTACTCTATGCTCAACGTTTGTTGTTTCGGTGGAATAGTAATAATTATAGTGTATATAACCGTCTGAAAGGAATATACGTTATTTTCCTTTGAAAAAGTTGGCAACCCTACGCGCACGTGTTAATAATCAAAGAAGGCAGCTAGGCTCGCTCGCTCGACTCCGCTCCACTTCAACCACTCGCCGATCGCAGACGCTGCACTTAACTACACAGGGGTAGCTTGCGAATTGTGTGCACACCGGGACAAATGACCTGTTGACCGGGACACCGGGACACAACGCTTCAAACCGGGACATGTCCCGGTGTACCGGGACGTATGGCAGCCCTAACTTAGCTTAACTAAAGCGTATTCACTTGAATTCGCATTATGAACGACGAAGCCAACTGTTTGATTCGAATGCGTGGTATTCGACGACAAAGGATCGGAGACCAGCCGATTATCTGGTGGCGTGGTAATGGTGGTTTATCCACCGGCACTATAAAAATGTTCGAATCTTAAGTGTTAATTCACCGCGTGCTCGACGGTGAAGAAAACATCGCGGAGAATCCTGCGTGTCCGATGTAACTAACCTTTGTCCTGTTAGTAATTTCACAATCGGCAGAAAAATGTTGACGTAACGCTCGAGCACTATTAACTTTTAATAACGCCGAGTATTGTAATTTAACGCCACTGTTACGTAATAGCGAGACAATACGACGGAGAAAATTTCACAATGTGCAAACACAACATATTAACATTAGATTATTTTATTGGGCATTTGCTATAACTATCTTTATTTAAATAATTCTTCTATAGGTGTGTTTGTCACTGAACTCACTTTTAAAGGGCTGATCTTTTAAAGGGAGTGAGTCCCTTAAATTTACAGTTGGAGCGCTAAGTCAGGGCCGAACACTTGCATCTGATTTAAAATACCTCAGATACAGTGAAGTAGCGTGCCATAGATGGGCCCTATATCAAACTTTGTCGGGGGGCCCAAATGAAGGGTAAAGATTTTTCACAAAAGGAACAAAAACTCTTGCACGGAATTAAAATAATTATATATTGATTATAAGTACTTACAATTAATATTCCTAGGAACTAAGCCAGCCAAACAATTCAAACCAACATCCTGTTCCACAGAAGTCCTTAGAATTATTGCTTACATACGTTCGGGGCCTCTGTAGCCCGTATCATTGATACGGCTGATATGGCGGTAGCTACGCCCCTGCCCAGATATGAGTTGAATATACAATCTTCGCAGCATCACTATCATCACTAGCCAGTATAAGTCCACTGCTGGACTTGACTGCCTCTTGTAGAGTGCGTTTTTTTATATAGTATAAGGGTGACAAACGAACACACAAACCACCTGATGGTAAATGGTTGCTGTACCCCATAGACATCTACATTTATCCTTGTTTGCGAATCAAAATGCAGATTCGTTGTCACCTGTGAGGACTAAGATGGAATGCCTTGTTTCCAGTAAAAGGGTCTCCGGTTCTTTACACTCACCATACGAAACACAGCAGCATTAAGTTGCTATTTTACGCTGGTATTCTGGGAGAGCGTGGTCCTTCCCCGGTCGAACCGACCCATTCGTGCTATAACTATACTATTAATATAGCTGCAGCATGGCTCTACCAAGTATAAACGTTTACCAGACGTCTCGCACTTTTAATGCTGATGCCTTCGCCAGTATGAGTAATAACGTCTGACGTGTAGGGGGATACACCATCGTCGCCACTTATCATATCCACGGGCCGTAATAGGTTGGTCTTCGCCAGGAGTAACAGAGCTCAAATGAATATGAAGTAGATGGAGATTTCGAAAATCCTTCCCTACCAAATAAAATGCAGCTAGCAGTAAAATGCCTGTGAAGCGTTAAACATGAAAACGACAACAAAAATATAGATATAATATTTCAAAGAATTACCGCATAATGGCAGTGTAAGAACATCCCACAGGCCCATATCATCGCGTGGGTGTCGTAAAAGGCGGCAAAGAGAAACAAGGCAGAGAAACAAAACAGGAGATGGGCAGCAGCGTCTTTCTAATAATAATTTAAAAAAAAACTACGGTTGGTAAACCGACTGCCAAGCGTGGCAACTTGGCAAATATCCCCCCCCCCCTCCCGAAGGAGGCCTATGTGCAGCAGTGGACCTTTGATAAGACTGTAACTGGAACGGTATTTGAAAGAAAGTGTAAACACAAATATACATATAGTTTAGAACTTTATTACAGAACATTGGAATGGGTATACTAACTTCATTGCATTTGTAAACACAGATCTTAATGACATCTTTATTTGATCGTATTATGAATCATCAGACAATATACAAATCATTTTATAAACAACCATCTCAAATTAATTATTCTTTCAACTAACTACTCCGTAACCGACACCAATATCGTATCCAGTGTATTTTTTATTATTTAAAAGCCAACAAAGTTCACTGAACCGACATTTATTTTTCACACACAAGTAATGTAAGAATATAAAAAAGCTTTAAACCAATGATAAGGATCATTTGACTACTTGTTCGATTATCAATAACTATCCAGATTCACAGATAACAAAACACAGAAATTGTATACACAATATTAATAAAATTATCCTATGAACAATATTTTATTTATTCAATTCAAAAATATTTTATTTTTCTTTACAGTTCGTCGCATTATATAATCCCAATAATTTATCATTTATTTTTCACAATATTGACGGATCTTTATTTATTTTATTAACAAGTGGGATGCGGGAAGTAAAGACTGTAAAGTTATAGCTGAAATAAGAATTTTTTTTTGGTTTTTGGCCATTTTGACCCCCTAGGAGTGTAATGATAACTTTTTGCCCTTATTCAACCATGACCCCCATGACATTCTCTACATGATAGGCTAATCAAACTACTAGGCCTAAAGTTCGAGCCACCCCCAACTCATTTCTAGTCAAAATAGGTTTTCACGTTGAACGTTTTAAAAATTACAGTTGCTATTTTACTGTAAATCTTTGTTTGTATTGGACCCGTATTAAATAATATACGTATTTGTATTTTTAATACAATTCACAATATTAGTTCGTGTACTTAAAACAAATTGATAAAAAATATTTAAATTGTACATTGTTCGATTTTTTTTTACAAATTCAACAAGTTAATAAAATTATATAACAAGATATATTCACATATAAAAATTCTTAGAATATTTATAAGTAGCTTGCTCATTTATACTCTAATTAAATAAAATTATTAAATAATAAATTAACGAACGTCCTTTTACCATATAAAACTGATGTGTTACATTTAACTTTAACTAATACCTGTATATATTAATAAGTATATAAAAATAGAGAGCTAAAAAGGTAATGTAGGTTTTTACCTTAAAATTGGTTCCTATTTATAACAATAGCAACGGCAAGCTAAATAATAATTCAAGTTATAACCGTTAAACGAGATATCTTCCCTCAATATCACGGTTTAAATATATATCACATTCACTGGATGAATGATCCACCATTTTTAAAATGGTGCCCAATAATGGCTTACTACCGCCAAAAGTAGCACATGGTTTACTAAATTAGGCTAACCTACCCTAGATCATAACCTACTATATTGTCCAGATCATAGTTGAACAGCCTGTAGTCGTACTTGTAGAGTTTATAAAGGCGACGTATGAGAGGTAGATCGAGTTGGGAGAAGTACCCGTGTAACTTTTCGGCTGTTCCTGAAGTGTGGATGAGGCGAGGGAACTGGATGTGTGACGCGTTGATAGTGTGCAGAGCGAGAAGTGAGTCATCTAACAGCGTCTCATATTTACCTGAAAAGATATCAGCAATGCATTAACTACACTTAAAATCTAAGTTTAATATTTGTCTTTAATTTGAATTTAATTTTGGAATTAATTAGAAAGATAGAACTATATTTAATGCTACAAAATGGTAAGTATACGTATTTAAATACCAAAATATGATTATTGCAACAACAAACGGGCAGTAGGATTCTGCCGGTACCCAGACCAACCAATTCCAAGTAGTCCAGTACCAAGATCACAGAATAAAAAATACGCCAAGACTCAGTAGCGCTTAGGGAGGCGCAGCCGATGTCAACCTGTTACCACTGTTTCGCATGCAAAAAAAGTGTCAGAGCAATGTTTTGTGCCAAACAATCTGTTCAGACAGACTATTTGTAAAATTAAAAATCTTAAATTTACACTCAATGTACCAAGTCTGCGTATTTGTTAATAGTAATCTACATTATTTTAACTCGCATATTAATTAAACATCCGATGTAAACAAAAAATAAATTTACTATTATACCATAACCAATAATATTATAATATATTATCCTTTATAATATCATTGACTTTCATGCATCTCGAACAGCCATTTTCTCAAAAAGTTTTTGTGCCCAATAATATATAATCATTATTTACCTGGAAATTAAACGAATTAAAAATCAAAACAATTTAAGAATAAATTTTTACAATTATTGACTGAAAGATGTTTTTACTCAATAGTATTTTAGCTGCAAACTTACATTCTGAACATCTGAAATATTTTGTTAATTATGATGTAAGCTAACATGTATTACATATCAATATTCAATTATATGACATTATGATTTATTGTACATATTTGTTGATTTGATTTAATGTTTAATGACTGACGGCCAAATACTCAAACGCCATTGAATGTTGGTATGTATGTCGTTAAGTGTCGTGGTGTCACCACAGTCACATTGACATAAAGTGATAGAGACAGCACGAGACTTAACGACGGCATCTTAAAATTGAGCAGCATTAGAGTATTTGGCCAATAATGTTTTAAATGATGTTAATAACAGGATTAGCCTTAATCTAGGCAGGTTGTGGTGATATTTAATTACTAGCATAATTTTAAATCTCTAAGATCTACAACTAGCACATAAAGGACTTATTCTATTCTTTCTAGCAAGCAGTTTGTTTCGTGTTAATGGTTAACGTACTTGAATGGAGTTATTTTTAACTGTGAAGTAGAGCCACAGAATACTAGCGCAAAAGAACGGCATGATGCCGCTTTGTTTCGTATAGTTGGTGACGAGAATCGGGTACCCTTTTACTGGTAACGAAACATTTCATTTTAGTCCCTGCTGCATGTATACCTAACTGCATTTTGACTTGTAATCGGTGATAGATATATGTGTGTATGGGCTACTTCATTCGGTTTTCGTCAGGTTAAACTTACTTGTTACTTGCATAAAAAGTTGGTCAGCTATGTAGCTAACCAACTTTTTATGCAAGTAACATGTACTCCAGGGATCGGGTCGACAAGACTAAGCCAGAGGGATACGATAACACATCCCTATCTTGACTCTCCAACGAGTTTGGATGTACATGTAGGTAGATAATTATAGTATCCTAATGTTATTTCTATTTGGAAACCTCAAGGCTTTGGATTGACAAATGTAGAGAAATAAAACTAATGACTATCTCATATTCTCATTAAGCCATTGTGATGAAGATCAAAGAAACTGTTTGTTATCATTGTGAATTCTGAAGAATAACCAGTAATTAATGTCAGAGGTCAATGCGTCAGCATGTGATGCAATAAATTCTTCATTAAATATTATGTCTGCAAAAAATATGACAGCGATTTTACGTCCAGTAAAAAAAAAGGAGCCCAGCTATTCTGTAAGACAGATCCTCGTGGATATGTAAAACCTGTCTACGAATTGCAATAGAGATTTAGCGAAGCTATAAGATCAACAAATTTTCAGAAGTGATTTAAAGAAACGGCGCATGTCAGTTTTGACGCGCGACTGGAGTTTATTGCTTATGAAGCTATTTTTTTTTTAATAGAATAAGGCTGATAAGCGCACACACAGTCCACCTGATGTTAAGTGGTGGCTGTGGCCCATAGACATCTACATCTGTCCTCATTTGCGAATAAAATGTAGATACGTTGTCAGCCGTGAGGACTAAGATGGAATGCCTGTTTTCACTATTTTCACTATTATACTCACTAAACGAAACACAGCAGCATTAAGCTTTACGCTTTTTTACGCTGGTATGTGGCTCTACCATGTATAATCCCACCATTGACCATTTTGAATTATCAGAAAGGTAAATCTTAAATGTTTTACAAATACATTGAATAACATAAAATAACATTTATGTTTTACATTTAATACTACCAATTTCATACACATAAAAGTCTGTTGTGAAACATTCACACAGAGTAGAGGTTGCCGTTAAAGAATTTTAAAATGTTGCCAACAAAGAATTACTACTTAATTTTGTGTGATTTCAAATATGGGGTTCATTTTATATTTTCTATGAAATATCTGTGTTGCGATTAAAAGTGGAATATAGCATGTGTAATATACAAACTTTAAAAATGTATAAATTACGGTCGAATTTCTATCACTAGTAATGCCACAGAATAAATAATAGAGTTATGCTTAATATATAGATGCGCAAATTCATATTTTGTAAGCAAAACTTGTAGGAATGCAAAACATCCTTATTTATAATTCAGGAATTCCGTTATAATGAGACTGTTCTAACTCGAGCAAGTGTAATACGTAGTAAATTTGACGAAGATGCCAATAACAGTTAAGAAATTTTCCTCTAGAGGTGCCCATCTAACTGCAGCTATTATGATAATGACGTTTTACTTTCTAAACACAGTACGCACACCTAATTTCAGGACGAAAACTGTAAATATACAAGATTTACAAGTCGAAATTTAATTTTTTTTGTGGAAAAAATCTAGAAACTTCATTGAAATTTTTATTTTCTTAATTTATTAATGTATACAAGGCTCAAAAATTATAATAAAAAACTAAACTAATAACTTAATTATCATATAGTCCTACTCCCCGTGGTATCGTGCCAAGAATGCTGGCTGCGTTTCCTCGCTGAATAACTATTATTTAACCTTTGCAGCCCTCTTATCACCAGCAGCAACGACTAGTCGCGAGTAGAGTTCCTTTATGAACTTCACCGCACGTGGACCCCACGGACCGATAGTCTTTACAGCAAATGTCACAATTTTTATTATTTCTAAATTTCACCTAGGGGAAGATGTCTGCTTGCAACATTTAGTATTAAACATCCAACTATATTTCTTTTTCTACTATCTACATCAGCTCGTGAAAAATCCCCTACTGGGCATGGACCTCACCTATGGTAAAGAGTGCTTGCTTTAATCGTCACGCTTGGCATGCGCATCGCCAATCTCTGTACCAGACACATTCGCATCTTTGACGCTGTTGCCCGTCGCGTTCTGAAATTTTTACGCCTGGCGTAATCGAGATGGTTATACCGCTGTCTGTCAGTAACCATAACAGGTCTTTGGCTCTTCCCATAACCACCTATTCAGACAGCAACAGGACGACATGTACATAGACATGGAGTTTGAACGTGGTAGAGCCATGCTGCAGCTACGAGTATTTGGTTGTCATGGTTATTGGTAATTATGGTTGAGGCACGAATGGGTCGGACCGGGATAGCATCACGCTCTCACAGAATACCAGCGTAAAATTACAACTCAATGCTGATGTGTTTAGTATGGTGAGTGTAGAGAAGCGGAGACCCTTTTTACGGGATAAGAGGCATTCCATCTTAGTCCTCAGGGGTGCATTTGGATTCTTAATCGAGGTTACATTTAGATGTTTATGGGCCACAGTATCAAATTACTATCAGGTGGGTTGTGTGCTCGATTGTCACCCTTATTCTATAAAATTAAACAATTTTTATTTAAATAAAAAGGGATTGCACTTTGGTGTTAGTTGAATTTAATTTTGAAAACAACTTAAACTTATATATTCGTGGCCATGTTTATACCTGGTAGAGCCAGGCTGCAGCTATATTAGTAGTATAGTTGTAGCACGAATGGGTCGGCTCCACCGGGGAAGGTCCACGCTCTCACAGAATACCAGCGTAAAATAGCAGCTTAAAACTTCTGTGTTTCGTATGGTGAGTATAGAGAACCGGAGACCCTTTTTACTGGAAAAGAGGCATTCCATCTTAGTCCTCACGGATGACAAAGCATCCGCATTTTGATTCGCAAACGAGGATAGATGTAGATGTCTATGGGCCACAGCAACCACTTACCATCAGGTGGACTGTGTGCTCGTTTGTCACCTTATCCTATACAAAAAAATATAGCTCGAAAAACTAACAAATGATGAGAAAGAAGCATTCTCGAGTGTAGTGTTGGGTGAATCTCCACTAGCTGTAGTAACGACTTGATGAAACTTCCATTTGATGGATGCAGATGGCTGATTCATGCTTTCTTAATTACATATAGAGACAATTTCACTTATAATGATACTAAGCATGTAATAAGTAACCAAAAATATTTACATTATTGAATATCATTATAACTCTCCATCCAGTGGGGGAAGGACTGCGACTCTACACTGCGCTTCCGGTACGCTACTGCCACTCGAGAACCTTTTCCACATCGTTTAACCATTACTGACCCTCCACTATTGGGTTCTCTTCCAACAGTGTTACACTCAGCGTTGTATGTGAGGTAAGGAACATCATACCCGTTTCTATGTAGCAGAATTGAACTGAGTTACTCGATGCCCTGTGGTAAAGAAAGGTCATCTGACAGACAAGTATGCCGCTCTTACAGCCTCCTTTTTTACTTGGGGAAATGCCTACGTATACCCGCCTCGCGGGGGCAAGGACAGGTTATGTCAGACTCGCACCGACTACAACCCTATGGTGTTCTTTCGACCTTCGCCGTATATTGGCAGGCCCACGGGAAAGATGTAACACACATCCGCAGCCCCACCAGCGCTGGCCGCTCCATGGCAGTCCTCCCC